CAGCATCGCTGGATGCAGTTCCATGTCTAAACACTAGAGGCGCTATGATTATTGTTGAAATAAAAAAAAATTGAGTCAAATCAAGTATTTCAAGAATCTTACCAAGTAAAATTTTCTTACTCCATTGGCAGAAATTTTGACTTAATTAGAGTCAAATTTTCAGACTAACAAGACAAATAACCTTACACATTCTGAAAACAAGATTATTATTCTTACACAATCAGTTCTTGTTTAGTAAATCTGTCTCAAAACAAGATCAAAAAGACTTTTTGGCTGATATAAGATTTTAAAACTTGGTAAGATGGACATTTTTTGCAGTGTGAGGGACAGATACATAAAAAGTCTGTTGTATTTATAACATTGACAAAAATGTAAGACTTTAAAAATGTAATTTAATCCATAAATAAGTTTTATCCCTCAGTAGTTAAAGATTAATTTGAAAACTCTTAAAATGTAATATATATTTTAATAGATAATTCTTATAAAACCTAAAATGGTTCTGGTCTTACCGAGCATCTTACTGAGCACAGCATTGTGCAGGTCAGGGTTCTGCAGCGCCAGACGCTTCCTCTCATCCTTAGCCCAAACCATAAAGGCATTCATGGGCCTGCGGATCCTCTGCTCAACCCCCGCTGCTTTCCCCTCCGATACGCCTCCAGTCTGGATCTGATCCGGATTCTGTTCCCCCAAACTGGCAGTCAGAGCAATTCTCAGGCTTCCCCCTTCGAGGCATTCAGGGGAGCTGCTGTCAGCAGAGAGGCTCTGCTCAAAATCCATATCTGGATCAGAAGCAGGACTCGGTGTCTCGGATGTCCACGGTCCTCCAAGAGCCATCCTGCTGCGACACAGAGAAGTCTCTGTAGACAAGCTGGGTTCAGTTAAATTCATCCTGCAACCAGGCTTTGGGTGGAAGTTTTAGTCCAGATGAAATTCAGCAAAAGCTTGATTCACTTTGTTTGGTTGCAAATCTCTGCAGAAAAACTGGAGTTTAGATTGTTTTGGGAGGCAAACGTGTGCAGGATTTGGTGCACAAATCTCAAAGCACAGCATGGAGATCAGAGAGGAGAGGGAGGATGAGAAAAAAGAGAAAGCAGTTTGTAAAAAAAATCCACAGTGACTCTGCCTCTTTCTTTGTCTCTGYTTTTTGTTGTAAAAGACCTCAGATGTTTGGATTGTGTGGTGCAGTGGTTCTTTCCTTCTGTCAGCAGGGTCACCGAACACACGGTCTCTCTGTCTCTTCACCTTGTTTAAAAGTTTTGAAACTTGTGGGCAGATTTAACCGACCCACGCTGTGTATATATACCCCGCCCTGACCAATCACATAAATATGTGGCCCAAAACTTCACCAATGAGATGCCAGGCTGCGGTGAGAGGAATGGACGGGTTACTGTGTTAGGTTAGGTTTAGGGTCAGGTATGTACCTGTGAGGTTAGGTTAGGTTTAGGGTCAGGTATGTACCTGTGAGGTCAGATTTAGAGTCAGGTATGTACCTGTGAAGTTAGGTTAGGTTTAGGGTCAGGTGTGTACCTGTGAGGTCAGGACCCTCTCAGGAGCTTCAGATTTTTTGTTAGCTCTAATGAAGGGCAATTTATCAGGCCCACCAGTCAGTGCACCCCCCAGACCCCCAATTTATCTGAAAGAAGGACACAGAAAAATGATTATAGCTCAAAAACT